GTAACAATAACTGACATGGGCTATTAAAGTTATTAAACATATAGAATTATGATGAATATAAAATAGAAATCGATTGCTTCAATATAATAAACATAAGGAAAATAGAATTATAGTTATTATATAGAAAAAAGAAAGGAATTTTTCAGACTTCAAATAATTCATTGTAAAATTAAATGACATATTTTATGTTTTTGGTTAGTTTTATTTAACTACGTTCATTGTGAGAGGACTGGTAACTAGGAATTTTACCTTCGTAAGACTCGGTGTGAGTGTAAGAAATAATACACTGGAAAAACGCAACGCCCTTTACAGGTAAGATTCCAAGAACACAAAAGAGGTATTAAGAACTGTGTTATAAATACATCAGCTATAACTTTTCACGTTCAGGAAAACGACCATATAATATACCTAAAAATGTTAAAATAATAAACGGAGAAAAAGCAAGAAGCTATGCCATCCAAGCACACGACAGTGGACCATCAGTGAGTATTAACCAAAACAACGGCCAACAGCTACCAAATATTGCAAGGACACCACTAATCAAATACATAAAACATATCATTTGTTGTGGTTTCGATGTAAAATTCAACTTTTAATTTTACACTATATTATTTGAAGTATGAAAAATTCCTTAATTTTTCTCTCTAAATAATACCTATAATTGGATTTTATTTATATTTATTACATTGAAGCAATCGATTTATATTCTATATTCAACATAATTCTATATACTTTGTGTTTGTTTAGTTTATTTGATGTTAAGCACAAAGCTACACCATGGGCTGTCTGTGCTCTGCCCACCGCGGGTGTCGAAACCCGGCTTTTAACGTTGTAAGTTGGCAGACATACCGTTCTGCCACTGGGGGGCTATATACTTTGTGTCCATGGAGATATATATACAAATTTTCAGTTTTGCAATTTGCATTTTGCAGTGTTTGTGGGCGTTTTTTTAGTTTTCCACAATTATATTTAAGGGAAGCCAATTTTCATGTCTTAAGATGACCTTTCATTAATCATGAATTTACATGACTTCCGTTCAGCTAGTGTTTAATACCTTCAATACCAGATGTCAATTATTGTTACGGTTGTTGCCTAGATACCTATTTTAAAACAGCGTTCCACAGTTAAACGAATTTTTATCGCTCAGTATATTGTTGCCCCTGTTGCGTCATCGAGGTCACGTGACTGGTGTGGCGCCCTCTAGTTTCTAGAACTATCTTGTTCTTTCATGAATGCTCTAGTATTTACTAGATAGGGTAGGCTGGTATATATAAGAGGGTGACGGAAGGTAATGTGTGTGTGAAGATAGTGAGTAATTGAACTGCAGTCAGAAGTATTATTGACGTTCGTTGA